CGGCTTGTTTTTTCCAACATCTCTGAATTTTTATTGTATAGGTACTTAGCACTACAAATTTTCCTCTTGGAACTTTTGTCACACTATCTCATAGATTTGTCATGGTCTTGTTTGTTTTCATTTACTTCTAGGATATTTAAATTTCCTTCTTGATTTTTGCATTGCTCCATTTAATAGTTTATTGTTATATTTCCATGGCGTGTATATTTTCTGCAATTGCTCCTTCTGTTGATTTCCAGCTTTATTCCATCTCAGGTTCAGATGGAATACTTAATTTGTTTCAATCTTCCTATCCTTGTTGAGACTTGCTTGTTTTCATAAAATGTGATCTATTTCAGAGAATGTTCTCTGGGGTATCGAGAAGAATATGTAGTCTTTGGTGTTTGAGTGGAATATTCTGTAAGTATCTATTAGGTCCATTTGATGTATGATGCTATTTAATTCTGTTTCTTGCTCATCTTTATACAGTTATTTGCCTAATGGTAAGAGGAGGTTGGTGACTTCGCCCACTATTACTGTGATGTTGTAAGTCTATGATATCAAATCCAACAGTATTTTCTTGAAAAAATTGGTCGAGTTTCTATTTGGTGCTTAATACATTAGAATGGTAATTTCCTCTTGATGGTTTGGCCCATTTATGTGTATGAAGTAATGGTTCTCATTGGCTCACATATTTTAATTCTTAGTCATCTTGAAGTGGTACTTCTTGAGAAGGATTAGGAGGTGTGGCCCTGTTGGGTAGCTGTGGTCTGTTGGAGGAAGTGTGTCACTGGGGTAGGGCTCTGAACTTTCAACAATCCAACCCATGGCAGGGGGCTCTCTCTTCCATCTGCCTGTAGATCTGGATGTAGAACGCTCAGCTACTTCCAGCACTATGTCTGCCTGTGTGCTGCCATGTTCTCTAGCATGGCAATGATTGACTAAAAACTCCAAAGCAGTAAGTATGTCTCATTTAAATGCTTTCCTTTATAAGAGCTGCCATGGTCATGCTGTCCCTTCACAGGAATAGAAGACTAAATAAGACACTCTCTTTCAACAGGGAGTGCTGTGAAGTCTATTTTGTAGACATTAGAATAGGAATGCCTGCTTGCTTCCTCGTTCTATTTGCTTTCAGTTCATTTTTTTACGTCCTTTCAGCCCAGGATATTGCTATATTTAGTGATGCATTTTGTTTCTTGAAGGCAGCAAAGAGGAAGATCCTGTCTTCTAAATAGTCTTCTAGTCTGTATTTTTTAATGTGTGTATTGAGACTGAATTTTAGAGTTTCTACTGAAAGGTGTGTATTATTCTGTTATATCGTTAATCTTTTTCATGTTTGAGAATTTCTCATTCTTCTGTTGGAATATTAAATTTTCCTCATATAATCTCTTATTTTGCTTATCTTTTTTTTTCAGACTGATGTATTCCTTCCAATATTCTATGTTGGGCTACTTTACTGGTCAATAATTCCTTTAGCTTATTTTTATCATAAAAAGTTTTCATTTCACCATAGCTTATGACAGAAATTTGCTTGGTATATTACAGTGTGTTTGCAATTATATCTTTCAAAGTTTTAGAGATACCAGCCCTTCTTGGGTTTGAAGTGAAAAATCAGCAGTTATTCTGACTGGCCTGCCTTTGTATGTGAGTAGGTTCTTCTCTTTTGCGTTTTTCAATATACTCTCTTTGTTCTGTATATTTAGCAGTTTAAATATGATATGTAATGAGTTATTTTCTTCTGGTCCTGCTTATTTGTTCTTGGTGCCTCTTGTATCTGGATAGGCTTCCTTTCCCTATATTTGAGAAAATACCTTCTATGATTTCATTGAAAGTATTTTTATACCGTTTGAATGAAATACTTTTTCTTGTATATTTAAACTATGTAGGTTTTGCCATAGCTCATGCCATATTCTGTTCATACATTCGAAAACCTGTCATCGATCTTGACTGAATCATCCAACATTCTCTTTTGTCTTCATATCTTCATGCGTGATATAATCAATAGCATCCATTCAACTGGACTTTTATTTGGCCTGCTTTAATTTTCATCATCACTTTAGTTTTGTTTATTTCCAGTATTTTTATCTCTTTATTAAATTATATTTTGACAATATAGATTGACTTCCTCATTTCATTTTGGTTTCTGTGTTCCCTTGGATAACATTAGTTTTTTTGTGAGCTGTTTTACCATATTTAAAAGTCTTTTGCGTCCTGCATCTGAGCTGTTTTGTAAGTCATTTTAACTGGGGGTCATTTGAATAGGTAGGTAATTTTGGGAGGCATTGAGTCTTAAGTTTTCATGTTACTTAGGTTTACGTTTTCTGGGACATGACTACCTGAGGTTATATTGTTGTTCATGACTTATTATTTTAATTCAGGCTTCCTCTCTTCTTTCAGTGGACATGTTTACAAAATGAAGAGGAGACTGGAGTTTAGCTGTGGTGCTGTTTTTGACTGTTAGGTTGGTGTTCCTTGTACCAGGCTTTATCTCTAGACTGCACCTGTGGGTTGAGCACTGCCTGGTGATAACAGAATGGAAAGTGGGAATATGAAACAAATGCTTATTGGACAGCAGTTAGTTCAGGGAGTAGGGGAGCTGATGATCCTGTGTGTACTGATATGTTAGTATGGGTGGGAAGCAGAGCAATGCTGAGGAGACTAGTGATGAGTTAGACGTTAAATGGGAAGTAGAGGAGAGGGTCGTATGTAAGAGTGGTAAGTAATTGGATCAATGGAAAAACAGGAGTGGGACACTTGGTTCATGCCAGGCTGAAAGGAGGTGAATGTGTGGACCCAGATCTTATAAAGTAGATCTACCTGCCTTTGAGCTTTGGGAGATGTAACAGTAACAGGAATGGGTCTGAGAAAAGAGAAAGGGAGGGAGACGGGAGAGGGGAGAGAGGGAGGTACTAGCACGGGAGGGGGAGCAAGAAGGAGAGGAAGAAACAGGAAGGGACAGTGTTCTATACTACACTGTCATTTCCCAAGCAGCAGTATGAATTTGAACAAAGCATTTGTTTTTAAAGTCTACTTAGTATGGGGGAGAAACTCATTCAGAATCCACCACAAGTTTCTAAGTTCCCTAGCCTTTTCTGTCCTTTCTTGGCTCTGTGGTGTCAGATAGCAATGAGCTGCCCCCGGGACTTAGAAATTACCAAGGGCTGATAATGGGGAGATGTTGACCACAGATGTTAACTTCTGTTTGTAGGAACACTGCCTGTGGGAATACCAGCATGGAGATTTTAGTCAACAATTGTATCACGTCATATATTTGATATCTTGGTAAAAGCTGGTAAGTGTTCCCCACCTCCCAAAGTGGTAATTATTAGAGGTGAGGGATGAGTTAATTAGCTTGTGGTAACCATCTCGAATCATTAATGTGTACACTATAAATAAATAGTTTTCTCAATCATACCTCAATAAAGCTGGGGAAAACCAACAAACAACCCCCTCACACACAAGCTGGGCTGTGGGGGGGCTACAACTTTTTGGCCTGTTTTGACTCTGTTGCCTTTTCCTCATTAACCCCTAACTACGGGTGATTTGCAACTTGTTTTCATCTTCCCATACCTTGTATGTCCTCTTTCTACGGTGTAATAACTTCATTGCTTGAGATACTAAATGCGTGGCTGGGGACCCTCACGTTTCTTGCTCGACGTGCAGCCATTTCACCTTTGCACAGGAGAAGGGCGGCCTAATGTTTCCTGCAAGCAATTTTTCGATGGGAAGTTCTCCCTGCAGGAGTGAACAAGGGGAGCAACATTTAGACACCTGGGGAGGGGGATATTTATTTTCGTCTTTATTCATTCCTTATAAGGACGGGCAAGCTGGGTGCTCTTATGGAAATTCCAATCCAGACTTGGCGGTGGCTGAAAGGATGAAGAAATTAAAATACTAGGGATGCAGGGTTGTAGCGGGGCCTTGTGAGGGAAAGAGAATTCCTGGACCCGGGGCCAGAAAATGCAAATTCAAGTCGTACATAAAACTCTGTTCTGTTAAAGGAAGGATGCAGAGGTCATGAGGGAGCAGAAAGGTTGAGTCAGGTGTAGATTAGAAGAGAGGCCATATGATAGGTAGGATTTGAGTTGGGGGGGGGTCCGCAGGGGAGGAAGGGAGGGAGAAGGGAACTAGGATTGTCATGTAATTCAATCTTGTTTGAAATTCAAATATATAAAAAACAAAAAACTACCTGGCAAAATGGGGAAGGGCCTAGGCCTGGCCCAGGATGACGTGGTAGACTTTGGGGAGCCCCTTTTGAGGGCTTTACCCTGCCTGGGGAGTGGAGGGGGCATGGCTAGGGGCAGGTGGGATGTTGG